CGCTCTTATCATTTGTCAAACTGCATTTCCACAAGTGTTCTTGAATTTGGATGGAAGACGAAAAACTAAATTTAAAAGCACTACATTGAACTTCTCAGACTCAACATTAAACACTGAATGAAGAAACGAATGCCTTCACTCATATTTATATCTGCGCCAAATGTTAAAGCTGCCGTTTTTCAGAATTTTTTATATCACTACACCTTATGAAAGTACATATGTATATACCTACGAGTATAGACACACATTCAAGCAATTGTTCTAAACCGTACACACAAACATGCGAAATCTTCTTTATTTATTTAAATGCTCACTTAAACGCATACACACATACGTGTACACGCATAAGCGTCTTCCTTTTCACTTTTATACTACACCAGTAATATTTCGCTCGCCAGTCTGGTTCTTCTTGTCCTCCAGATTGGTTTTTTTTTATCCCACCCTTTTCAGCCTTGTGATGCAACACAATGAAAGGGACGCTGCTACGGTTACTCCAAAAAGATTTTGTCGTTGGAATTGCATTTTTTCAATTCACGCTGTAAATGCACGTTACACAGTCTACTTTAATTCCAGAAAGCAGCAAAGCACAGACATTTCTTTTAAACTTGCTCGTCTTGTAAGAGAAGTGTTCTTAATTTTAATGCCAGCAGGAAATACAGACATTAACAAGCTGATCGCACATCGTTGAGACCAAGAACGTTAGCGTCAAAAAAAAAAAAAAAGTAACACAAACGCTTATGAAGAGTAGGCAATCAGCATATTCAAAGTAGAAGAAATCTTACGAAGGGGAACAAATAACATTTGCATTGAACGGCTAAGTTGAAAAATCAGGTATTTATTTTGAAAAGAACATATACATATGTATTCTCTACAGGGATACCCTTGATGCATGTTCCAGCGGAGGAGATAACAAGTCAAACAAATATGTCCAGGTGCATGTAATAAAGAAGCATTTAGCTTTAAATTCTGCACAAGAACAGAAGGCATAGGACTTTTAAGAAATACTGACCTTGGAAACTTTAGCCCTTTAGCTTAAATCAGACTAGCTGGCATACTTACATACTATGAGTATGTAATATGTGTACATATATATGAAATCTCCGAATTAACCAGAAAACTTGTTTACGAAAAGTAGAAGCAATCGAAACTACAAACGGCAGGTGTCATCGCAGATCAGAATCGTTTTTTCTTATTTATTTATTTTTTTTTCGGTAAAACATGAGGGCATGTTTCTTTTGCGAATCTCTTCGACGAAGCCTAATCTGTGTTTCCCTTTTATGTAAAGATAAAAGCGATAACTAGTGTACATTAGTATGCCATTTATTTACTCATATCGTGTATGGTGAAATACAATGGTGAAATAGCTGGTGAAGTGTACTTGCATACAATGAATTGATTGTATTTCCTTGGTGCTTGTTTTCCTTGCGAATGCTCCTTTCCTGGCTTTGTCTGATTAAAAACAAAAAAAAAAAATAAAAAATAAAATGTCTGAACTTTCCTGTTCCCAAAAAAAAAAAAAAAGCTTCGAAGGGTCAGTTCTGTTGTCTGCGCCGGTCATTGCTCTTTCTATAAGTTCTTAGTAATGGAATAGCGATGCTGCATCCAAAGGATTTTCACAATTAATCAACACAAAGCATATGAGCAACAAAACAGGTCGACCCATTGATTATAAGTGAGAATTTCTGTGAACTCTGTTTACCTCATTCGAGTCGTTGAATTTGAACAATAGATAGAGATGCGACTATGCATGCATGTATGGGTGTTTTTTTTTTTATTTTTTTTTGTAGAGTATTTGCATGCGCACAACCCGTAATTATATGTACTTTGTGTACAGAAGTTTATTACAGAATTGCAATGAAGTCGGTCAGAAAGGAGAATTTTAATTCTTTTCAGTTCTTCTATGTTAAAAATATCGAAGTTTGTACTGATGTTACCAAAACGAGGAGTTTCGATGATTTATCCACAGATATGAATAGTACATATAATCACGGTTAGGTTCTTCTACACTACCTCTAAGGAATAGAGAGCTTCTCAACCCTTGAACTTACCAAGTGTGTTCTTTTAAAATTACAGTTTTTGCAAATCATTGATCTTCGGAAGTTTCTGGCAGAGAATTCACTTCATCTGAATCCGAAAATCTAAAAGCAAATGTCGCAGCGGTGTATCGTTTTGGAGGCGAGCTAACCTGAGTAGGCGAATATCAATGCGATTGTGTGTCAGTTTGGAATTCACCACATGGGCCGCTGCCCAGCTGGAAAGAAGGCGGAAGAACGCGTGTCCTTACAAATTACACATACAAATATATGGGAGAGAAACTTCATCGCCGAGTACTGGTATTCAACCCGGTGGATGAATGTCTGTCCACAATATGCACCAAAACAAACTTTTTAAACACATCGCTAATTTGCACCAACGGAAGCCCGGCGGAAAAGGAGGACGTAGTGACCAAGGATGCCCTTGTGCCTGCAATATATTTATGAGCGCTGCCCCTGGCACAATGTTGTTGGTGACTTCCACGCTAGGGTAACAAAGACGATATCTACGGCACGACTGTCGGAAAGTTTGGACTTCATAAGATTGCTTCCCATAAGATTGCTTCTGATCAACTTCACCCGAATGGTTATCTGTAGAATTAGATTTCAGCACAAGAACTGAGGCCAACTCAACAAGACAGTCGAAGAAGTGTTTACCCAGGAAATTGTGTCGTGCAGATGTCAAGGCTGGACAGTGGCAGAAGTAGTGCCCGATGGTCTTTTCCGCCTTCTTTGTGCTTACAGCTGCGGCAGAGGGCTCGTTAGAGTAATAACCATCCTTTTTCCGTGGCCCCGTTACATTGAAGAGATCTGATTGCAGCCTGACTGTCAGAGTAAAATGTAGCAAATTGTTCTGCTGCCATAGATTTGTGCAACCACTCCGCGGCCTCCATGATTTTGAAGAGTTTCGCCTTGAAAACGCTGCAGTGGTCCGGTATTCTCATGCGTATGCTTAATGAGAGCACGAGAGAATAAATTCCGCAACCCATCTTTCTTCATGAAATCTTCATACGTTGTAACTCGCTTGCTCTTTTCCGTATAGGTCCAGATAGGAAGTTAAAAAGAGTAAGCAGTGCGTTCGAGGGAATTGATGGCAATGCTGCCGTTATCAGGATGAACGCCGATCGGTCTGAGACTCTATCTCTTTCCTATCGCCGCTTTTTTGATTTTTCTGCCGTGTTCCGGCTCCATTTAGTTTTTTATCTAACATTATCCCGAGATATTTGACTTCGGTGGTTTAGGTGGCTTAAAGGTATGCGGTTTGTATCTCCTGGTAAATAGCACCATATCGGTGGAATCAGGATTTCCGTCCAGCCCGCTGTTTCTGCACAATCCCTCAATTATACAAAGAGCATTTTGGAGTAAACCTCTCAATGCTTGAAAGTGTTTGCCTGCCGGTGTCAGGGCTAAGTCGTCAGCGTATACCACAACACCACAACCTGTTGAGCACCACAGCTGTGGCGACAAGACTCCACCTTGAAGGGTGCTTCTGGTTGTGTGTCTGCCGACGCCGGATATCAAGGAAAGTACCAAGCGTATACTCCTTAAGGGCTTGCCATCGATGCTCCCGACTAAATCAAGCAGGACTGTATCAACAGACTTACCTTTGTAGTAAGCATGCTGCTTTCCCGACAGGCTGATTGAGGGTAGATTTCGGCGTATACAGCTGTCCAGCAGTTTTTCCAAGATTTTAAAGAGAAAAAGAGGCAAGACTGATGGGTTGTAAATCCTTTGGATTGGCATGCTTGGTTCTTCCTCCTTTTGGAATAAAAATTACTTCGACCCTTGTCCATGCTTGCGGGATTTTACATAGAAGTGGAGATAGGACGTTCTCAGCCCTTTGTAGTTTAGCAGGAAAGAGTCCATCTAGTTCTGAAGATTTGTTGGGTTTTAAAGACTTCATCGCCCATTTCACCGTTTTGTAGCAATCATGTTATGATAGACGGACGACATGTATTCACTGTCCTAGATGGTGCATGGATTGAGATCACCTGTTTTTGCAATCAGGATCTGCACGTGCCTCTGGGTATGAAAGAACTACCCGACTGTATATTATACAGCTGATTTTTGAGAACACACATCAGCAGCTTGTTATAAGTGAACTATGGACCAGCATCTCAAACTCCCAACGTAACGTCACCACGGAAACAATTGGTTTTCGGCAGTGCCCGAAAAAGTGTTGGAAGGATTAGAAATGTCGAGCTGCAGAAGAAATGCTGCTTACATCGCAATCTTGCGATCGACCACAATATGAAAAATACCACCAGAGCAGAAGAGGGAACTAAACCGTATTTGCGTTCGAATGGAATAAAACGCTCCAGTAAAGAGGAAGACCTCCGCTCCATTAGAAGTATCAGGTAGAGAGCGATCTGGTTTCCATGGTAGTTCCAAATGCCGCCATACAGCGAAAAGAAAATTTGAGAGGCGCGATATTTTTGATTCGTACGCGGCGCCTACGTCAATGAAGAAGAAGATATTTGGCCACAAAAGCCGTGTGGTTAGCATTGCGTACTGCCATTCGTTAGGCTTAGACTGTACATATATTTGTAGAGAGTAGAAAATGTTGGCCGATGGTCAAACAAAGATTTGAAGATTTTCGTTTAGATCTTGGTTGGGGGAAAGAATTTGCCATTCATCAGTTTTTTGAGCTACACTGTTATAGGTGAAGGCACCTCAATTACTTTCTTTCCTGGCAACAAATGTGGAGAGACAATTCCAGGAACCAATTTCTTAGAAATTACATCATAACGCCTCAACAAACTGTAGCAGGACAATTTGTTTTCGGTGAGACAAGGTGACCGATTCCTCGCACTTCACCCCATCATCCTGAATTCAAACCAGTTTGGAGATATTATACTTTTGCAGAATGTATTTTATTTAAAACAAAATAAATTAGAATTACATCAATAACAACTGACTAAGCGTCCATAGATTAGGTGACCAAATTTCGTTTTATTTATTCGTTTTTCAATGATGATATTTAACTACTGACGGAGCAGCGTAAGAGGTGTAATGTGCGACAGGTGCTGGAGCAGCATAATGGGCCACTGGTGCAGCATAATGAGCCACAGGAGCTGCGTAATGAGCCACAGGAGCAGCATAATGAGCAACTGGGGCAACTGTCTTTACCACAGGAGCTACAGCAACAGCTTTTACCAAAGGTTCACGGTTGACAACAGCATTGAAACCATTCACGGGATCTGAAGTATATTGAACGGTACGTTTGTATCCATCGGCGTCGATGAGTGAGTATTCACCATGTACAACATCACCATCACGCTCCTCCACTTGACTCTTGGAATCACCCGTCAATTTGTCATCGACTCCATAAGAAAATTTGTACTGAGGATGAGGATCATATTCCTCCGATTTGACGACGACCTTCTGGGCAACGGCTACAGGTGCTGCGTGTACGGCAACAGTGGCAGGTGCGGCGTGATATACCGGATGAATGGGTGCGTAGCCCGCGCTGGCTGCAGCGACGAAAGCGAGAGCGAATACAAACTGAGAGAGTAATTTTAATTAAAATCTTTAAATGAACTTAATTTGTTTTGTGCTTGTGGTTACCTTAAAAGCCATGTTGTAGTTTAGTTATCTGTAAGTCGAGTACTTGACGAAAGCTAATACAAGAAGTGAATGATACAGATCTGTCAATTCGCCGGCACTTTTATAGTGTTAACATATGTATATCTAAAGAGCTCGCTAATATGAATTGAATTTTTCCTTTTCTTTTTTGATTCGTAGCCCATTTTGTTTTCTGAAAACCAGTTCAGTGGTATTTGGTCAAAACGATGGTTATTCACTATTTGCTCAAGGTCAGTATAACTGTTAAGAGATTCACATTTATACTGCTAATAATGGGGCATTATACATATGAATGAATCATAAGTTTAGGCAATACCAGCTTATGTCGAATGTAATTTATCTTTCATACTTGATTCTGTGCAAATAAGAAAGCAATATGGGGTCTTCAGAATCTCTGTTGTGTCCGGTTGCCAAAGGAAACCGACGATTTTTTAAAAGAGAGTAATTACATTTTTTAAAATTCTATATTGCAATTTAATCAATTATATAATCTCCATTTTGTTGGGTTACCTTTCGCCATCTTTCCGGCAGCATCGTTATTCCACGCCCATAGAACTTCTGGCCTTTATCTGCAAAAAACTGAACCAAGTGCGATTTTATAGCCTCCTAATTGTATCTAATTGTAAGGCGGTGAATTTAGATTAGCACAATACAACTGTGGTGAAGTAATGTTGTATGATTAAAAGCCAATCTGGCTCCTACTCTTCTTCTTTTCCTTTTTTAGGTATTCGGCGGGAATTTGAAAACCCCAGGTCTTTCTCCCTGGAGACTCTTCGGACGGAGTGAATACCTCTACTTCCACAAGCGACTGCAGAGTTGATTCGAGCTGATTTGATGCAGTTGCTGATCGCAGCGACCAATGGACTTAGGCACGCTGTGGTATGCCTCTCACTTTCTCTGGTGTACGAGCCCTAACGTGTGCTTTATGAAATATACGATACTGACTGTAACAGATGTTGCTACGTCAGTCAGACAGTCCAAGAAGTGAAGTTCTAAGTTTTTATGTCGTGTGATGCTAGGGGCTGGAGAATTACGGTTGTAGTGTTTGATAGACTCCCTTCCCCTTCTTCTTTCCTACAGCTACGACAATATTCATTGGAAAGTATTCCATTCTCCTCCCGTGAAGTCGCATTTAACAGTGTACAGTTAGTATACCGTTGTTGAATTAATGGTGAATCGGTTTAGGTGGATTATGTATCTTGATCTTTTAGCGTCGAGCTTAGGCTAAAGCTGTCTAGTCACGTAGTAGGTTCTTCCGCTAAGTAATTTAGGTATTGGCTATTTTGGTGAATGCCAACAATGTTCGTGGAGTTTATTATAATTAGAGTTGCCTGGGAGAAAAGCAGAGTAATTACAGTGATAGCTTATCTCGACCTTTTCTGAGTATTTCGTCTTCAGTGGAGGTTGCTATTTAAGTTTATATTTGACTTGGGTAGAGATAGTGATTTCCATGCATTTTAGCTAAAGTGGTTTATATCTCCCGACAATTTGAACCGATTCGGTTTTCGCTTTATCGACATCTAGCCGACAAAGCCTGCACTTACTACGTTTAGGGCGCTTTGGAGTAAATCACTTAAGACTAGCGTCTTCTTGCCTACCATGTCTATGCTCTCTAGCTGGCAAATCAGTGTGTTCATTGTGGAGATAAAATTTTTTTGAGGAGTACTTCCTATTGTAAATATTGTGACACCGACATCGCACAAATAAATGAAGAATGATCCTGTTCTCAGCGGGTACTGTTTCCAATACTTTCAGAGCTAAAGTTTTTTCAAAAAACGATAATTCAAGAGCCAAAGTGAATATTTAAATTTCTTCATGAGCTTGGCAAACACGTCCCTAAAGTATGATACAACTTTAAGGTATTTTTATCAAATGCCTTTAGTGAGTCTGCTATGAGTTAAGCAACGGTACAAACGCTTCCAAGAAAACCGTGGAGTAGAAAATGATGAAAATGTGAATAAAATGGTTGTAGGTATGAAACGAGTGACAACAGTATTTGTTTCAGAATAACTGAATATTGAATAAAATCAGCGGCAAATGAAAGTTGGTAAGTTGACCAGGAGAAAAACTGTTTTTGCATTTAATCGTAATCTTTGTCCTTTTTTATCTTCTCTATATTATTTGCCATTGATTTCAATGTATTTCTTAAACCTTTTAATTTTTTTTAATTTTTGAAAATAAAAAGAAATTGCAAGATGCTATATCCGGGAAATATGGTGCTGGACGTATTTCTTCGATCCCATAAATCTCAATAAAATTACTCGTTATTTCAGCAGTGTGAGATGGCTCATTGTCATGATGTAAAAAAGAGCTACAGTGACGTCATCAGTGGAAGATTTTGTGCGGTACAGGCTGGAATCTTCGCAAGCATGCGAATATAGTCTTAAAGACCTATCCTCATCATGTGTTTTCTCGTCTCGATTTTAGCCGATCGATCGATTGCAAGGATTTGGAATTTTTATATTTAACAAAAACAAATTGAAATTCACCATCTGACCGAACTTTTGTTAATCCTCTCGTATTATATACTGGATCTGCTATAATATAAGCCTAGTGTGTACAAATAGTGTACAAATCTTAAAAACTAAATTACAAACATGATTGCTCAAGTTATTTCACTCTGAGCCCTTTATGGATATGACTTCGAAACTAAGTTTAATCATGGCAGTGGAGTCATTCGATTTTAATGACATGTGCAGTGTGAATTGTTGCCACTGCTGGATATCAAGCGCTCAAGAAAGACTGTAACCTAAGAGCAATTCGCCAGCCTTTGCTAAGTGTACTTTTATCCATTTCAAAAATAGGGCGAACCTTAAATAGCATAGATGAAAAGATCTTCGTGGAGCGTTGGCACAATTAATGTAAACTCTGATGGTGATTATTTTGAAGGCGACAAATATATAGAGGATAGTCAGAAATATAATTCAAAATAATTTTAGCCGGAATTATATTGAAATTAGGAGGGTATGGATTATTACGAGTTTTTAGATTTTTGCAATTGATTGGATTAAAATATAATTATATTTGAGTGAGAATTAGATTAATTGGGGGTGTTTTAATTAGTTTAGATTTTTGCAATTGATTGGATTAAAATATAATTATATTTGAGTGAGAATTAGATTAATTGGGGGTGTTTTAATTAGTTTAGTTTGTTTACGTCAAACTGATTTAAAGGCAATAATTGCAGATTTTACGATTCTGAGTCATTCATTCTTCTTTTTATTAATTTTTTTCTTCGTACCAAATTTGATTAAAAATATTATAATCCCGATTTTCCAGTGATAATAATTTCATCACCTAACCCAAATTTCAATCGTGCCTTTAGCGTCCTGGTATGTACGCTTTTAGCTTTGCAAACATTTGCCAATTCGTCCAAATGAGCTGACAGTCACTTCTTTATAGTAAGTGAATATTTCCTCTAATGCTTGATTCACACGTAGTTTCTTTTCTTGAATGACGGATTTTAGCCACAGTGGTTGGCTTCAAGTAGGAAACAAAACAATTATGTTTAAACATAGTCTCAGCAGCAACTAAATCCTATGCGAATTCAACTCGAGTAAGAACAACTTTTGCCTTCCAGAATCTAATATTGAAATGTAAATTACGTATTACGTAAATTTACGACGAAAATAAAAGAACATAATTTTTTTTAATATAAACCTGATTCTTTTATGACTGTTTCAGTTTCAGGAGGACTAACAGTCCTTGTTATTGCTCTCTATGTTGTCTTTTGATGGCTTGACAAATTAGAACTTTGGAGATAATTCTAGCGACACTCCTCATGTAAGGTCATAGATTTTTGCTTCTCAGTATATTTCGAAAACAACTCAGCTCTTTCAGTACTTGCATTGATAATGTTTTCCTAACACTTTCAAAAATTAAGAAATTCGACCTTAACGAAGAGTTTAGCACAAATGAATAAATATACTTCAATATTTTATGTTAAACTCAAAACAGGACGAAATAGGTAAAAAAAAAACCATCATCCGTAACTATATAAAAAATTAGCTTTTCTGATGGTGGTCGACTCTCGTCAGGAAATGCCAACCTCTGTGAGTATATTTCTCAAGGAAATTTTGTCTATGGCGGCTTTTCTTTGAACTGGCTGCGCATTTTAGTACCTTCTCATCCAGATTTTTTTTCTAATCTGACTTGCTGCACAAAAATTTTCTTTTATTTTCAAAACCAAGCCTTTATCACGTGACTTCCCTTCTTTAGATACAACCTTGCCAGTCAGCACTTCGAAGCTTCCATATAAAATGTTTCATATACTCGAATACATACATATGTATTTATCAATGTACTCATCTATGTATATATATAAATTATAAACATACAATTTTACATATCTAAGCCATGATTTAATTGACTTGGACCCCTGAACATTCCATTGATTTATTGTTTACACAATTTGCGCTCACTTTTCTCGTTGCTAAGCCGAGTGAGCTGAACTGTCAAGGTATGGTTTAACATTGGTTTACCACCCGACACAATGTGTTTGTGTGCATGCGAATGTGCATACATTTGTGTGTTTTGCTACATTTACGCATTTTATAATTAATTTTCATACAAAAGATATGGCCAAATGTTAAACTGTATAAAATTGGCTTCAAATTCACATTTAGTATCATTCAAGTCTTATATTCGTTGAAGAAAAGAACATAATTTTCAAAAATGGCATTCAAGGTAAATGTGAAGCTCCACAGGTGATATAATTGTTTGTCAATCTTAATTATTTCAATTTGTGTTTTCTCAGTTTGTTTTCACGCTCGCTTTCGTCGCTGCCGCCAGCGCGGGTTACGCACCCATTCAACCAGTCTACCATGCCGCACCTGCCACTGTTGCCGTACACGCAGCACCTGTAGCCGTTGCCCAGAAGGTCGTCGTCAAATCGGAGGAATATGATCCTCATCCTCAATACAAATTTTCTTATGGAGTTGATGACAAATTGACGGGTGATTCCAAGAGCCAAGTGGAGGAGCGTGATGGTGATGTTGTACATGGTGAATACTCGCTCATCGACGCCGATGGATACAAACGCACCGTTCAATATACTTCAGATCCCGTGAATGGTTTCAATGCTGTTGTCAACCGTGAACCTTTGGTAAAAGCTGTTGCTGTAGCTCCTGTGGTAAAGACTGTTGCCCCAGTTGCTCATTACGCAACTCCTTTGGCTCATTATGCTGCTCCAGTTGCTCACTACTCTGCCGCCCCAGCAGTGGTTAAGACAGTTGCCCCAGTTGCTCAGTACGCGGCACCAGTCAGTCACTATGANGATCCTCATCCTCAGTACAAATTTTCTTATGGAGTCGATGACAAATTGACGGGTGATTCCAAGAGTCAAGTGGAGGAGCGTGATGGTGATGTTGTACATGGTGAATACTCGCTCATCGACGCCGATGGATACAAACGCACCGTTCAATATACCTCGGATCCCGTGAATGGTTTCAATGCTGTTGTCAACCGTGAACCTTTGGTAAAAGCTGTTGCTGTAGCTCCTGTGGTAAAGACAGTTGCTCCAGTTGCTCATTACGCAGCTCCTGTGGCTCATTATGCTGCTCCAGTTGCTCACTACTCTGCCGCCCCAGCAGTGGTTAAGACAGTTGCCCCAGTTGCTCAGTACGCGGCACCAGTCAGTCACTATGAGGCTCCTGCCGCCCATTACACATCCTACGCCGCTCCGTCCATCGTCAAGTATCATCATTAAAATTTAAAAAATTTGTTATATCTTAAAAATACCTATGTACATACCTATTTAAATTAAATTAAAGAAGCAACAACGTAGAGTTCATGTGCGAAACTTTTCTTTCGAAGACTCCTGAGGCAGACTCATCGGATGTCGACATCGCCTGCGCTTCTACGCCCTATAGTAGAAGGATATGTTGAGCGACTTGTAGAGTTTGTTCGTCGAGAGAGGGCTTTAGTTTTCAATTACCTAATCAGTCCAAAATATCACCGGTAGGCAGGTTATTGGTGTTAATGCTGGTCCATAGATAGACGAAATTATCTACAACCTCGAAGTTATGACTGCAATAGTAGGAACCAAGTCGTGATTGTGATGACTGTTTGTTTGACGACAGGAAAAACTTCTTCGTGTCTTCGTTCACTACCAGACTCATTCTCCTTGCGCAGACCAACCGACGCGGTTATATGCTCTTATAGAATATGTTATCTGTATTTAGTTCTCCAGAATCAAATCGAAGAAATCACACGATAAAGAGTGACCCTGTTTGAAACATCGTTTGGTACCGAACGGCTCGGCGAGGTCCTTCCCAATAATGACTGTGCTTTTAGTGTTATCCAGCGTCGGTTTGCACAGCCGTGTAAATTTTACGGTAATACCAATTACATATGTACATCGCGGCGCGGATATATTGTAGTTCGTTACTGTGCTGTCGAATGCAACTTTAAAATCGATAAAAAGCTGATGCATGCACCTTGTCAGCTTCTCACCGCCATATTTAAATAGCTCAGCCGGTAAGCCATCGGCTACAGCCGTTTTGTTGTTCTTTAAACGGGCAATAGCTATTTGAACCTCGTCTTAGTTGTTTAATTGGAACGTCTAACCTTCGGTTATTTGCCGAAACTCTTCCTAGAATTTCGAGCCTTACCTTGCCCGCCAGCTTTTCAAGCTCTTCATACTCATGCAATCCGGCTTACTTTCTTCTTTCGTTTGCAAATGCATCTTGCTTCCCTCTACGCTTGCTTCACTCTCAAAACATTTCGCAAAAGTATCAAGTAATGACTTATTTTACTTAGAATAATATCGACAAAGTGGAAAAATATACATATACATACATCCTAAGGCGCAGGAAACCATTGCCGACGTGAAATAAAAGGTTAAAGATATTTTTAATGATATTAAATATTGAGTATTGAAGGTGCAAGTTTTCATTAAAATCCATTATTCTGAGTTTGCTCACATCAGGGCTCCTAGAAGCCACTATGCGACGGCACTTTAGGAATATACAGTGGGGGCAGCAAAAGTGATTCCACGACCAACGTTTTCATGTTTGAGCTCACATAAATATTAAACGAATAAAGTAAATGACAAAATTTTATTTTTATTGAGCACCTTGTTTATTTTTTTACAATTTGGCGTATGCAGAAAAAAGGAAAAGGAGGAAATGGAATGGTTATGATTTAAAAACCGAAACAAGAGGCCTGTACTCAGTTTTTCATCATCCGTTATTCGCTCATATTTTTGCTCTTCTTCTGCAGATTTATCGTTAAGTGCCTTTTGCATTTATTATTCGTTGTCAGAATTCAGAAAGTTACTCTCTTCCCCTAGTTTATACATAGTTGATTTGTTGAATTTGCAACTTAGTCTCTAACTATTCACTAAAAAATGAAGAAGCTGTCTTCTGATAAAGAAAATAGTATTATCTCACTGACTTAAAGTGGGTGTTCGACACGCACTATAGCTGAGAAGCTGCAAATTAGTCCATCAGTAGTTATCAAGGTGCAGAGAAGACAAAATTTTTGTGCTGAAAAGAAGTTGAATGGCCGCTGTTGCCTTCTAACAGACTATGACGCTCGACTTATGATATCTAAAATGAAAAAATAGGCTTTTAACGCCAAAAGAAGCTTCAACAGAAATATATAAAGGCGTGAGTCGATGGACAGGTAGAAGAGCGCTTAGTAGGATTAGGTACGTCGCAGCAGTGAAAAAAACAACCCAGCTTTATCCGAGAAAAATGTTAAGGCTCGACTAAAATTCGACATGGAACACAAGAACTGGACTATAGAAGACTGGAAACATGTTATCTGGACAGGACAAATCAAAGCTTAATCGTTTCAATGGGATGGAAAGCAATACTGTTTGTCGGAGACCTAGTGACAAGCTTCAAAGGCATCATTTGAAGCAAACCGTGAAGCATGGTGGCAACATAATGGCATGGGGTGTTTCACGTATTCGCACATTGGACCGTTGCACAAAATTGACGGGATTATGCGAATGGAAGATCATTTGAGCATTTTTCAAACACATCTTCCCAATTATCTTGCCACTGTGTGCGTGATCAGAGCAGGATGGGTCTCCCAAGCACACTGCGCAAATTGTTAAAGAATGGCTCGAAAACCAAAATTTTAAGATGATGGAGTGGCCAGCGCAAAGTCCCGACCTCAATCCGTAAAGCCACGGCTCGGACAGTATCAATCAGACCGGTCCAACTTGAACGATCTTTTGGGGCGTGTTGAGCAACAGTGGAATAAAATTCCGAAAGGAATATTCGAAAAATTAGTTGGAAGTTTGCCAAAACCTATATCTGGACCAAATATTAATAACGAATTTATTTTGTATTTTTTCTTAAATGGTGCAAAGCTGAGTACATGCCGTTTGTTTTTGTTTTTGAATCATTACTATTCTATAGCTTCTTCAATTACTTTATTTCTTGCGTCCTGTTGTCACAAATAAGATACTATTAAAAAAAAAGTTTAAAAGTTTTATCATTTACTTCATTCGTTTAGATTTTATGTGGTCACAAAGATGAAAACCTTGATCGTGGAATCACTTTTGCTCCCCACTGTATAGGAAATAGTAAGCCCAAACAACATATTTTATTCACCAGGACACCTTATGTCAATGCTCATTACCAAATCGAATCTCTTTGCTGTCTTAATCAAGTAGGAGTAGACAATACTAACGGCAAATAATGTCAATATCAACGCTAATATCAGAAAATGGATTATTTTGCACAAGTTGTTACCAGAGAGAGTGAAGAGGAGTATGGAAACTATCAGCTGTTTTACGAAATCGGCTAAAAGCTGAGAGCAGCCTTTATATTTGACAAGGGTACCTTGGGGTTGAATATAGATTTTTAGAGCCTGCAGGGTGAAATATCGTAGGGCTCAAGGTCGCTTCGATGGAAAATATGACCTATGAATATTGTTTTATATACTACGTTTATGCTTAATTTCTACACGGGTTTATTTTACTTGGGTAGATAAAACTCGCTTTGTTTGCTTGGATCATTGGTATGCAGGTGATGAAACGGAAGGAAATGGATTCACAGACACACGACAGTACTTAAATACATTAGGACGATGATGGTGAACTTTAAATTTCAGTAAATAAATCAATGAAATATTTTTGATATTTTTTGATATCAATTAAAAATATTTACCTGTATTTTTATGTAGGTAATTGCAAGTTTTAGTATTTCTCGTTGAACTCGTCAATAAAATGTTAAAACTGATGTATTATTTTTTAATACATATTTCGTATTACTGTATTGATTTCATTTTCCATACCACCAAGAGACCTGTAGCATGACAGGTTCTGCGACATCAGGGATAACTAGTCTGAGCGGTACACGTCGGTGTACAAAAATAAACAGTTTCCAGCACTGCGGTTCGAATGATAAGATTAATGATTCGACGATTCAATATGATTTTAAGTAAGGTCTTTCCTTGAGAGCTTCCTGAGGTGAATATTGCCAAGTGCAATAAAGTATTGTATATCAGAGCTAGGCCAAAAAGGAAAATGAGAGTGTATTAGTGATATGGTGAGAATTATATTTATTAAATTTGTCTTTTTATTGAATATTGCTTATTAACATTTAACGTCATAGACCCTAATAAGCTTTATATGTCTTGAACTCATTCAAAATCATGAAATATTTCTACAGAGAACGAGAGAAAACGTGTGAGCCGCAAACACATAATTTTTTTTTATAGAGTTTGTTTTTCGATATTTTTAATGGACCCAATTTCGGTGGAAAAATGTCACTCTTGGCATTCGAAGGCAAACTATTCTGAACAAAAAGTTCCAAATAAAAAAATGTGCTGCGCTCCTGAGTACTTAGCGTTTACCGTCAAAATCTTGAGATCAAGATCACATATTACATGAACTGTGTTACTACAATAACAATTGTAAAAAGAGAAATATTTTCACCATTTGCCGTTCAATTTTTGGGGCTCACGTTTGGCATTGCTGTGAATAACCCCAATAGTATCTCCGATGAGGATAAAGCGAAAATTTCATTTCAACAAAACATTGATGGTATCCAGTTGGGAAGAATCACAAGGCGGTCAAAATCTTCATTTTTTTTTGTAGTATTAAAACTGTAAAAAATGATTAAAAGCTAAATTATTATCTGTTTATCTGTTTGATCTAGATATTTTAGTTGACAATGGAGTTGAGAAACGATTTAACTCCTTCAACTCAATCTTTATATAAATTCCAAAAATGAGTTGCATTCAAGTGAAAAGCAAATGTCTATTAAATGATCAAAATTACGATACGTTCAAGTGAATATCATTAAAATAGGTACAGGCAATATTAAATCCGTTAAAATTAACGCCAAACTATTTCAAGGATCCGAAAATTGTTATAATACAATAGAGAGTACCACCACATTGTGCAAGAAAAGTGATTGTTCCCAAATAATTATGTATGTACATATATGTAAATGTGGTTAAAAATTTTGTATCACCTAATTTTCAGGAGATGTACATATATACAAGGTGTGTTCAAAAAATATCGCGAATTTTGTGTTTTTTGAAAAATTATTTATTTATTCATGAATATCTATTTTGTCCCCTTCAAAGTTATCCCTATGAGATATTATACACTTGTGCCAACGGTTTTTCCAATCTTCGAAGCACTTCAAAAAATCATTTGTTATCTTATTCAGCTTCTCCTTCGATGCCGTCTTTATCTCGTCAATCGTACTGTAACGTCGTCCTTTCATGAACCTCTTCAGTTTAGGGAACAAGAAAAAGTCTCCGGCGGCCAGATATGGGGAATACGGAGACTGGGGCATCATTAGTGTGTTGTTTTTGGCCAACAAGTCGCGCACAAGCAACGATGTGTGAGCAGTTGCGTTATCGTGGTGCAAAAGTCAATTTTTGTTCTTCCACAAATCCGGGCGTTTCTGGCGGATTGCTTAGCGCTAATTGCGCATAACTTGCAGGTAACATTCCTTTTGACCGTTCTACCCTGTGGCAAGAACTCATGATGCACCACGCCCCTGCAACTAATTTTTTCGTCTGTTGTTGAAGTGCTCGGACGTCCGGCACGCTCTTCGTCGTTCACATCTTCTCGACCTTCTGAGAACATTTTGTGCCACCGATAAACGTTGCTTCGGTCCAAGGTAGCTTCTCCGTATGCCACAGTCAACATTCGGTTCTTTGATCCATTTTTTTGAATAGGTAAAAATGGAAGACCATCCAAGACACGTGCAAGCAAAGCAGCTGTCAACAATTAAGTATGTATTAAATTGCATGAGTACACATGACATAATTTAAAACTCTCTAATTCGTTTGTAAAGTGCTTTAATACCGTGAATTAAACGTCAAGGTGGAAATATACAATATATAAACAAACATACACATACAGGCAATTGACCCGAAGTAGCATAAATGTATGCATATTCATGTTTAATGAGTAACACATACACACGACCACAGAAAATGGCAAGAGATAAACGATATAAAACTGCCTTCGGAAAAACAATTTGTATCATTCATTACTTGGATCTGCTGTGACAAGAACCAAACCAAATTTTTAATTACGAAACCATTCAACACATATCCGAGCAATGGCTTTCAAGGTAAATTCAACATCCGCTTGGTTTAAAAATAACCTGATCTAATTGTTTGTCAAAATCGGCTAATTCAATTTGCGTCTTTTACAGATTGTATTCGCATTCGCTTTCGTCGCTGCAGCCAGCGCGGGCTACGCACCTATTCATCCGGTATATCACGCCGCACCTGCCACTGTTGCCGTACACGCAGCACCTGTAGCCGTTGCCCAGAAGGTCATCGTCAAATCGGAGGAATATGATCCTCATCCTCAGTACAAATTTTCTTATGGAGTCGATGACAAATTGACGGGTGATTCCAAGAGTCAAGTGGAGGAGCGTGATGGTGATGTTGTGCATGGTGAATACTCGCTCATCGACGCCGATGGATACAAACGCACCGTTCAATATACTTCAGATCCCGTGAATGGTTTCAATGCTGTTGTTAACCGTGAGCCTTTGGTAAAAGCTGTTGCTGTAGCTCCTGTGGTAAAGACAGTTGGCCCAGTTGCTCATTACGCTACTCCTGTGGCTCATTATGCTGCTCCAGTTGCTCAGTATTCTGCCGCCCCAGCAGTGGTTAAGACAGTTGCGCCAGTCACCCATTACGCCGCACCTGCTGTAGTAAAAACTGTCGGTCCTGCGGCCCATTATGCTGTTCCAGTGGCACATTACTCGGCACCTTCTGCCCATTATACTTCTTACGGTACGCCAGCGGTGTTGAAATACAATCATTAAAATATAAAATAATGAAATGAAGCTATGCTTGTGATATAATGTCTATTCCCGTTGTTTTGTCAAAAAATGTTTAAATATAAATACAGATATACTCCTGCATTAAACTAACCAAGTATTTCAGTAAAGAATATTACTAAATATTTTTCTATATACCATTTACAGTCCTGCAATAAGATCAGTCGCATCAGTCGATCATTCAGAAATCGAAATTATATAAAGATTTGTAACGAGTTGGTTATCCTCAGCATTTAAGGATGTAATTTTTCCCCCATTCTTCTTTGACTTCTTTCAACATTGAATTACTTGTCAAATCATGTTTCCTTATATTCCGTTTCAATAACGTCTACAGGGATTGGATCAATTGGATTCAAAACAGGTGATTGCAGTGGTGTTGGGAACTGTTCAGAGACGTTAAAACGGAGTCACAGGTGGACAATTTCGGCGCTATGTTTGGGGTCATTATCTAACCCGAATTTTTCAACGCTCTGTCTTAAGTTAAATTCAAAATAAAGTGTAAAGTAAAGTGTGTCATATATGAAGGTTAGTTCAATAATCAAATTTTAAGGTACAAGTAAATTTTTGGGACCAAACGAAAATAGATGAATCCTCTATCGCTAACTGAATAAATATTTGACTAAAAATATACAGTTTTTTGCAATATTCTCTGAAAAATATATGCATATATAATTGGCGCCTTCTAACAGCTGAAGCGATATTTCGGCCGAGCTCCTATTCCTATTTTTCTAATTTTTCGAAGTTATTTATTTTTTTAAATTGCAATGGAGCCTTCTTGCTCAGGTAATTTTGTAAATTCGAAATGATTCCATTTCTTTGTTACGCGGCTTTAAATATTTTATAGCGGGGCAAAGCAAAACTTGTTTCATTGAATCTTAAATAAACAAAAAGTGTTGAAAATTGATGTACACAATATATGTGTTTCTTTATGATATAAAAAAAGCATTCAAATAACACTAATTGCTTTTTTTTCTTCTTTTTGATTAATTACCCCAAAAAAAAAACAAATAACTCTTCCGTAACTAGAAAGCTAGTGGGAATTCCTCTCCATTTTGAGCACCATTTACCCCACTGTGCGCCGCCTACTATCATTCATCCCCACATCAGTACACCTCCACCATGCTTGACAGTGGTGAAGAGATTTGTTGAGCGCTGTACTTGTTTTTCTCCAAATAATTTTCCGTCTCTTTTGTCGAAAATGAGAAATTCACTATTGTTTTTTTTTTTTCAAAACTCTGGTGGCATTTTAACGTACTTATTTGCGGTTTCTTTCAAATATTTAAGGCAACTTTGGGCGCTGTGACCTTAGCAGTCGCCTTTACCAGAGACAGGACACTTCGAACTTACCTTTAAAGTTTTTAACAACTGTAACCTATGTCTAGTAGTAGTTTTAGCCTTCTTGGTGGAGTTTTACGATATTTTTTATTTCGCCGAATGTCTATTTTTTTCGTTTCGACAACTTTTTAGGGAAAAATATTGAAAAAAGTGAACAACTTAATTTTTTTATTGATTTCAATAACACTAACCTATATGGCGGCCGCGGTAGCCGAGTGGTTAGCATTGCATACTGACATTCGAATGGTTCGGGTTCATATCACGGTGCCACCAATATCTAAACTAATATAAATACAAAATAAAGTTAAATTTTCTAATTGCGGTCTCCCCTCGGCATGGAATGTCAACCCTTCCGAGTGTATTTCTGACATGAAATAAGGATCCTCATAAAAAAAAAACATCAGCCGTTCGGAGGTGGCTTAGTATAAACTGTAGATTCCTCCATTTGTTGGAAAAACATCAAGACGCAAAACCACAAATAGGAGGAGGAGCTCGGCGGAAAATCGCTTCAGCGGTTACAGAGCGCAAATTATATATATATATATATTTATTTTATTTCATGTCAAAATTCAATTTGGAAAGCTTGGCATTCCCTGCAAAGATGCTTGGATGTTTGGCGAACTCTGGCCTTCCGAATGTAAGTACGAAGGTCTAACCACTCGGCACGTAGCGCCGTTTTGTTGAACACCAATTTCGGCCATAAAAAATGGTTAAACATTTCAATGTAGAAAAAACAATCCATTCATTTTCGTAAATGTTAAGTCCCATGACCTCGTCAGACTATAAAACTTACTAAATAAATTCACGTTGAAGAAGGAGAGCCTTTTCAACACAAGGTCTGAATTTTCCGAGCCCCAGATGCGACAGTTTTATTTATTGACAGCGATCGAGGTGGAAATGCGACAGGAGGATTTTTCGAAGAAATTTCATAGCGACTTTCAATATTTTCAACCCGTTATTGAAGCGTGTCGATAAACCGTTATTGTTATTGGCGCAGTTTTTACTTGTCAAATGTCAAAAAATTACAGCTTCAATAGTGATATCTACTGGAATAGCTGGCTATTCAAAATAACACCTCTTATTGGAAACCCCTTTATTTACCAGAGCAAAATTTGTGGCACAGCTAAATCGTTAAAAAAGTGAACGAGTAATAAATACAACAAACATTTTTAAGGTAGTGATTCAATATTCCTATTGGAATGATATAATGTAAATCGATACCCAAGTACTGGTGTTCATTTTTAATCCGTACAACATAACTCCAGAGAGTTTCTGCCTTCCAAAGCGTTATATCGTAGAACAGAAAAGGACCTCTCCGAAGCGGTCGACACCAACCGTGTGACTTACGCAACCTGATACTGGAGAATAAAATTGAATATTGAAGATACAGTCTTCTGTAAGAGAGTACAACTGATGGCGACATAATCAGCCATAACAACCGGGCCGTTTGTTCTATTTCACCAAATTGTGCAAAGAAGCGAAGCGGAGTCTACTAATGAACGAGGGAAAGGCGAAATATCTCCTGTCATCAGTCATCGCATTCGCGACTTGGTTCCCACGTCACTGTTGACAGTCATAACTACGAAGTCGTAGATAATTTCGTCTATCTAGGAACCAGCATTAACACCAACAACAATGTCAGCCTGAAAATCCAACGCAGAATCACTCTTGCCAAAAGGAGCTACTTCGGACTGAGTAGGCAATTGAAAAGTGAAGTCCTCTCTCGTCGAACGAAAACCAAACACTGCAATATACCCGTCCTACTATATGGCGTGGAAGCGTGGACGATGTCAACAACTGATGAGTCGGCTCTTGGCGTCTTTGACAGAAAAGTTTTGCGAACGATTTATGGTTCTTTGCGCATTGGCAATGGCGAATACCGTAGACGATGGAACGATAAGATGTACGAGCTATACGATGATATTGACATAGTTCAGCGAATGCAGAGACAGCTGCTACGCTCTAACGGGAGGTTAGGTCGTCATTAAGGTGAAAGGATAACAATGATGCCCCGCTTAACGTAGCGATGTAGAAAGCTACGTTATATTGTTCACTTCAGGAAAGAATGGAATTTAACCATGGCGTGCCAAATAACAACAACATATGGAGGGGGAATTATTATTGGTGAGCTGCAATACAAATAACATACTGCCAGTATGATTTCATATTACTGTTATAGCACTTACCTAGATTTAACTAAAGTTTTTGCTTACCAACTAGTCTACACTCTCTCTGCAGGGTACTTAAGGCTAATATTATGTACATACATACACGTAAATATATGTATAAAATAAATGCTTTCATTTATATGTGCGTATCGCCTATCTATGTGTATGTAAATCACTGTATTAAATGGACCGGCGAACAGTATAAAAAGATCAGTTATTTAATATGTTGTATCATTCATTTCTTGCAGTCACTTCGTCAAAGAACACACTCTGAGCAATGGCTTTCAAGGTAACTCTCCAACATCAGCTTGATATGAAAATAACCTGATCTAATTGTTTTTCGTTATTGATTAATTCAATTTGTGTTTTTGCAGTTCGTATTCGCCCTCGCTTTCGTCGCTGCAGCCAGCGCGGGCTACGCACCCATTCATCCGGTATATCACGCCGCACCTGCCGCTGTTGCCGTACACGCAGCACCTGTAGCCGTTGCCCAGAAGGTCGTCGTCAAATCGGAGGAATATGATCCTCATCCTCAGTACAAATTTTCTTATGGAGTTGATGACAAATTGACGGGTGATTCCAAGAGCCAAGTGGAGGAACGTGATGGTGATGTTGTACATGGTGAATACTCGCTCATCGACGCCGATGGATACAAACGTACCGTCCAATATACTTCGGATCCCGTGAATGGTTTCAATGCTGTTGTCAACCGTGAACCTTTGGTAAAAACTGTTGCTGTAGCTCCTGTGGTAAAGACAGTAGCTCCAGTTGCTCAATATGCGTCACCAGTGGCTCATTACGCTGCACCAGTCGCTCATTATGCTTCACCAGTGGCTCATTATACGTCCCCAGTGACCCATTATTCCACTCCAGCAGTGGTTAAGACAGTTGCGCCGGTTGCACACTATGCCGCACCCACAGCACACTACGCTGCTCCAGCTGCTCATTACGCCACATACGCATCCCCAGCAGTCGTGAAGTACCATCATTAAAACTAGCAAACCGTTATTATAAATAAATTATATATATTTTAAACTAAATAAATGAATAGTAAAATATGTTTTATTTTTTAGCTACTTTCTGAAAAAAAAATAAAAATAAAATACAAACCGCAAATACAACAAATATTTCATTTGTTTAGCAGTGCAAATAGTGGTAGTCCTTCTCATGAGATTATATTAGAGAACAAGAACACTCTCGTTGTACGATTGTAACCAATTCACTTTAACTATTACAACAAAGTGACCCAGAGTTACCTATTTCCTCGTGCAATCTGTGAAAAATAAATATTTTCATATTTACATGGATGTGGGTACATTTTTCTATCATAACTTAATATTTTGTTGTTGTGCTGTTGCATTATAATATGCATTCTCTTAATGCATACCGACCGCCAATCCAAAGGGCTTGGTTAAATCAACCCAGCTCGTCGTGCGGTATAAATGTTGGTGGCTCTTTCTCCTCGCCATCTGACACTTACCGAAATTAATATTATGCATCAGTTCTGTTCAAGAAAAAAAATTTGAAAAATATTATAGTCGAGTATTTACTTATGATATTCTCTTTTTTCAAGGTATTTTCTTGAATCTTTCCTTTCAATTAGTTTGAAAATCTTAAAACTAATTTTTAATTACACTGATTTATTGGGTTGCCCCAAACGAAACCGGCGATTTTTTACCAGAAAGTAAATACATTTTTTCTTTTAAATTTTATATTTAACTTTATTTAATTATGTAATTTCCATTTTGTTGGATGACTTTTCGCCATCTTTCCGACAACATCGTTATACCTCGCCCATAGAACTTCGGGCTTTTATCTGCAAAAAAAAAACCGATCCAAGCTCGATTTTATAGCCTCATCATTTTCAAAAAGATCGAAAGATCGAAACAAATAGTAGTCTGACGGTGCAAGGTTAGGGCTATATGGTGGATACATAAACAGTGCCCAGCCTCAGTTCTCTCAGTTTTTGGCGAATGACCAAAGATGGATGTGGTCTAGCATTGCTCTCTTCGTTTAACCAATTCTGACCGCTTCTCTTTGATAGATGAATTCAACTTGTCCAGTTGTTCACAGTAGACATCAGAATTAATCGATTGGTTTCTTGGAATCAGCTCAAAATATACCTCACCCTTCCAATTCATGTGGTATCCAAATATCAAATTTTTTTTTTACCAGTCCAAGACGTCGTATATGATTATGAACGGTTCATTTTGGTATACATGACTTCTCTCCAAAGTAAACAGTATAATTCTGCTTTAAAAAATAATGCTTTCCTAAAGATAACATCAGGGGTACAAAACACAAAAAAATTCTAGCAATTTCACAATACAAACAAAGATACCATAAATTATGATACATACCTTGAGAGTTATAAATGGAAAATATCTTTCATGGACGACTCCTTAATGACAGTTCAAGCGTAAGGCCTTTCTCTTTAATCGCTTGGTTAGATAACCTCAATGAGTATTTTAACGCAGTTTTTCTGACTCCTCTGTTACGGAGTCAATGCAGAGGTCGCTGTGAATTGAAAAGTTTTTTTTTATATACGAAGGTGCACTCTTTTTTAAAGTAAATGTTACATGTTTACACTAAGGCTTATTGCCTTTAATTCTTCGAGTAGTTGGCAATTCTTCTATTATTTTAAAGTGATGTTGGAATCATAAGTGGCATCCGCTATAGCTGAGACGTCGTTAATATTGTATACAGCCCTTCACAAAGCCAGGGTTATAGTCATGGTTCGCCTAGCATCCAGAATTATAGAAAATTAATCAAGAACACCGCCCTCAGGACTGCGACAGGAAACCTCCTGATGTCGCCTTGCACAGTGAAGAGTCTATTCTACGAGTTAAGAAGCATAATACTTTGCTGTGCAAGCAGTTCCTATTGGGATGTTACCGATGAAGCTGAGCCTCCACCTAGGCACATCAGAAAGGGAATATTCGGCTTAAAAAAACCATCCAGCAACATGTACAACAACCGCTGGACAGGACGGCGTACAGACAGGCACTGAACAAACAGACACACCATTCACCAGGAGTCAGTCAACCCCTTCAAAAGCTCCCTTCCAGTGAATAGCGTGGCCAAAGTAAAACCACCACCCATTGCAGATAACGAGCTCGAGCTGCCTGGAGAGACCCGCGTGACCTTGGCACCACTTAGGACTGGATACTGAAGCAGGTTAAACTCCTACTTATCCAGACTCGAACCCAGCATATCCAACGAACGCCCTGTATGTGGAAGGTCTCCGCACGACACTAACCACCTCTTCACATGTCCCCTTAAACCGACTCATCTAACCACCCTCTCCCTTTGGTCCGATCCCGTCGAAACAGCTCGTATCCTAGACCTCCCATTAGATGACCTCGGCGACGTAGATTCGTGAAACCTGGTCCTAAGCGGGGTTTGCGATCCGCTACTACAACAACAACAACAACAACATACAAAATTAACTTCTCTAATTGCGGCCGCCCCTTGCGGGAAATATTAAGTCCAAGCCGAGTCCATCAGCCGTTCGGAGGCGGCTTAGAATAAACTGTAAGTCGCTCCGTTTGTTGGAAAAAAATCAGCAAATACCATAAATTATTATAATATTATACATATATGTATGTATGAATATATAATATATTATTGACTGTAACGGTGTTTGAATTTACACTGTGTTTTGCATCCGTAAAAGCTTACGAGACAAAGTTTCGGTTTGTGGAAAAATCGCTTTTAAATTAAAATGAAGTTGGGCGCTACTCTAGCGTCCACGTTGCGCACCCTGAAACGTGAGCAACGCTTGTGAATAATTCAATAACCAAACTGTGTGGAACATTGGATCGCGGTTATGAGAAAGGAAGCTTCAGTGAAGCCACTCCGACAAATTCGGTTTGCGGCTGATCATCAGAGGTGCAGCTGCGAGCGGGCGTCGGTCTTGAATTGAGTCAACCGAATCTACTACCGATTTTCTATTTTGAAGCTGCACAATATGTTGAAATTGTTGGTATAGATCAGATTAGATTAAGGAATTGAAGATACGCTCCCGTAAGTAAATTGATCGAGGTTTGGCGCAACTTTCGACTCAGGTTCTACAACACATAGCGGAGCAAATTTATTATCTTTCAAAGTATTATTTTCAGCCTCCAAAGTGGAGCCTACATTGTTAACCCATTTTACACTGATCTTTAGTTTTTTTTTTCCTCTTCAAGTGTGTGATATTAACTTATCAATCAATTTTTAGTGCAATGGCCTAAAAAAAGGTGATTTTTGGGGATTTTTATTAAAAAAAAAACACTTTATCAATTATTTCAAACTTTTAATAATATATTTATACATGTTTCAAGAATATACAGTGAAATTTTTGAAGAAAAAATTAAATATTTTTTAAGTTATAGTCGATCTCCAAAGGCGCGAAAAAAAGGTCCTTCACTGCTGCAGTGATTCCGGCCTTCTCCGTGGATGAAATCTAAAAAAAAAATCACGATAAGATAATATTGTCTGTACAATGACCTAAGATATAAACAATCAAAAATTGCCAGTATGGCGGGGTTTTAAAAAAAATAGTCGAATTCGAATTCGAAAAATAGTCGAATCACTGCAGCAAATTCGGAATATGCTGCTTCGAGAAAAACGCGTTTGAAGATAAAATGATGGTTTTCACTCGTAGCTAATGAGACTCTCTAGCTGCAGAGCGGCTGCTCTTTAAATTGCTACAACTCAAAAACTATTTGAGATTTCGATTTGAAACATTAATATGTTATTTTTAAAGGTGTAATCTACCGAAATATGAAAAAAGATCGATTTTTTTGAGATTTCACACTAGGTGTGCCCCTTAATCTGTAGAACCGAGTCTGTTTCTTTTGGCTATCTCACCTTTTTCGGTATTCGTCGCCCGCATTGGAGTTTCTGCTGCTTCAAATGACTAGGCGAAGTATTTTGAAGGAATGGCCAATGTTGTAATATCATCGATAATATCGATAAGTCATGAACACAGTCTACTATAATTTCTAGAACAGATTAAAAGTTTGCAAGCTTAGTGTTAAAGAATAAATTCGTAGTAAACAGCGTAATAACTTTATCTTTTAAATAAAAATATCGTTTTAGAATCCGGTCTATTTCCAGTTGGAAACTTTATCCAAGCTTTTAAGTTTTCTAACAAATTCTTTGGCGATATGTTGGGACAAAGACATAGGTTGTGGCAATATAAAACCTTTTTTTCTATAGTTTGTGGTTATTATTATAATTATGTGTACAACAACGGCTCATAGTCTCTTAATTTTTCATAAACTTTACTCAATTGCGTTCTGACATATGTATGTGTATATTTTCCACAATTAGATCGTTTCCTCACGCAAGTCAGGCAATTTTTTAACTGCCATTCACCTGGGAGTGGCCAGAAACGATTCTATTGCATATGTTTCAAGCAGCAAAAGACTTACGGTCTTAGACCACGTATCCCCTGGGTAGCCAACAAATATCCGTTTAGAGGTGACATAAAGTGAGAAGGCGAATCCCATGCGGTTGTGCGTTAAGTCAGCCTCGGATGAAAGACCTCACTTTTGATGATGGTCACCGCAAAGAGGATTACGCTTTTAGGGCATGCACGGCATGCATGGAATGTCCGGCCTCTTAATTGCAGAGGATCCGTTACCCAGCTGGTTGATATCCTCGTAAGAATAAATGCTGAACGGGACAAGGACGAAAGCGAGTCGCCATATAAAGGGGCAAAGGTTTCGTTTTGGATTCGTGGTTGGAGAGACATTCCATCGCCGAGTACTGGCATTCACTAAGGTGGATGAATGTCTTGTTATAATCCGCATCAAACGAAATCCTTTAACAATACGCTAATTTGCGTCCTCGCCCCGACGGAAGAGAAGGATGACATAACCAAAAATGCCTTTTACGAGTGCATCCAGCACAATTATGACCGACGTCAAAACTGTGATTGACAACTTCAACGCTGGGGTGGGCAAAGAAGATATTTTTCGGACAACAGTCGAAAAATTCAGCC